GTATAAATAGATCAATAGATACATTACTATGTTGGATCCCCTTCAGGATGCGTTTGACTGAAAAATTTCAAAATGTAAATGCTCCAATACTTATGCAATAATTGAAAATCACTTGTTCGATTGTCTCATGTCGCATATAAGAGCACCTTTGAAAAGATCAATATCAAACGCATTATTTATCACATCCTTCCACCCCATACAATTCATCTTTCTTCATTTCCCCTGAAAAGCCTGAATAATTCCAAAATGTAAATGACGCTATATTTATACTCTGCCGCGTATAAATAAATCATTAAGCTCTCGTCCAAGTATTCCGACGGTGTCTGACAATTTCGTCCATCAATGTACCTGTCGTCGGACCAACGGCCACCTGGATTCCGGTTGATACGCGCGGCGCTAGTGGGGCTCGCGGCACATCTGTGGTATTTTAAGCGCAGACTCGCGGCTTTTCGCTCAGTCCACGCCTACCACCTTCAACCCCCTTGAGGGAGGGAGGGGTAGGTGTAGGGGTACGAGAAGCACCCCGGTCGCGGAGAGGAGAGCGAAGGTGGGCGTAAAGAGCGAGACGGACGGAGAGGGGCGAACGGAGAGAGCGAGGCGGAAGCTGAACGCGAGGGTAGGACGTACCCCCCGTGAGTCTGTATGACGTCACGGGGGTCGAATCAATATCACGGAACCGTCCCTCCGCCGGTCCTCGACTGCGAGAAAGACACTGACAGTTCAGTACGGGGTGGCCTCCACGACCGTTAAGGACGCTAAGGGCACGTCGTTCTGACGAGGACGACGACGACGACAAGGTTGAACGATCACGGTTATCGTTCGCCCGTTCGCTCGTCGCCCGCGATTTTTTTCACCGCCACGCTTTCCCGGCCTCGACTCCCGAATCTCCTTCTCTCGTTTTGTTTCGCTGCCGCTCGATCGGTTCGTATCCCCGAACAAGAGTAACAGGAAGTGATTCCTCCGAGAAATGGTTCGCGCGCGAAAGTGATCGCCGAGGGCCACCGCGTATGCCGCGTGAACTCCGAACCGTCTCGAGACACGTGTGAGTGGGTGGAAAGAAGCTCGAGGAGACCGGAAACGTCCGGCGGGTCGACGGGGTAAGTTCCTTCAGCTTGAGTTTCGGTAGCCTGTTTTCACGAATGAGGTTTCTGTGTACCCCCGTTGATGGCTTTCGAATAGAGTATCGCGCGCGTGTGTGCGTATGCGCCGTCGATTTTTCTTTTCTTATCCTTGGTTTAGTCCGTTGCTGTTGTTGGTTGATACCGCGACACGCCGCTGAGCTACTGCGATACGTAGTTTCCGATTTATCGATCGTGCTGCACGTGAATCAGGTATAGCCGTATTTCGCGATCGCGGCCGACCGTCAGTGGCGACGAAAAGGAGCTGGGCCGAGTCGTTCGTCGGAGCTTTACGGAAAAGTAATACCTGATTCCATCGACGATTACGTAAGATGCACTTCCGCTCCATACACGTGACCGTATTCCTTCCCGACACGAACTACGCTTCTCGTCGCTATCGTTATACGACACACGGGTAAAATTTTCACGAAATCGTGTAAGCAACGATCTATACATGGCGTCTCGCGACGTAATTGTCGTATGGTGGTACGGTCGAATCGAATAACGAGAAGCTTCGGTACCGAAAGGTGTTTCGCATTCTCTTCGGTTCTCCAGTCGCGTCGGCGTTCGATTTTTAAGAGATACGCACATTTCTGGAAGGCTGCACGTCACTCTTTCAGGTGAAGGACCGCACTGACCCCCGCGATCGGTATTAAGAAGCGTGGGCGAAGGAGAAAATCGAGGAGGAAGCAAAGGTAGCAGCAGGCTCGGTGAGTTGGGTGAAAATCGATGGCCATCAGCGCCCATGGGCGGCCTCGCGTTTAGAACAAGGAATAGCCCCTCCCAGAAGACCTCGCTCCGGTGGGGCGACTGCTGCCCCCCGAATCCCAACCCGCCGTCGTCGTCGGTCGTCTGGAAGGACCGTCATCAGGACATGCCGCCGGTACCCGTGTGAGGCTGTCCCCCGCTATTGCGTGATTGTACACCGCGGGGTCATCAGAGGTATCATGAACTTGTTGTTGTGCCCCTATAGAAAAGAAATTCCTCCGTAATCATTCACGCTTCAACGCGCGAGCTTCTTCCACTTATCCCTTGGCTGCTAAAAACGTCCACGATTATGATCCTTTTCGTATTTACCTCGGAGACTTTGCACGAGCTACGGTACTTAAAGGGTTACATACCTTTAGCTGTTACCTTTAGCTGTTTACGGGATTTTTAAGAATTCTTTGCTATGGCAAAGCAATGTCGATGTAATTAATTCAATATGGTATTAGGGCGAAGCAAACGTTCGTGTGCTTTTTTACGTTGTTTCAGTTTGTGCAATTTTTTGGAGTTATTAAAATCAATTTATATGGAAGTGTTTTATATATCACTTTGTAGCATTTGAAAAGCTCTTTCATGATTTCATTATTAGCTACATTAATTTATCCATACGTTTAATTGGGTTTTGGTTTAGTAAAATCGTGGAGAATTTTGAGTTTCGAGTATTTTTACGTGACTAGTGGAAGCGAGAGTTTAAAGGAGAGTGATCATACCTCGTTACTAATTACTTTAGAGACCTTGCAAGAATTTTGATGCTTAAAGGAAATTTAATGCAATTCGTTCTGCGTGGGGTGTATATGTTCTACCTTGGCTTATCCTAATATTACATTAATTTTACGTGAAGAATTTTATGTAATATCTCGTTTGCAAACCCAGATTCAAAGATAAATTCACAAATTCAAATTATCGAATAAATTTACTTACTATTGAACGTATTAACACGTTGACTGGCAGACTGATTCACATGGAAATGTCTACAGGGTTAAAATTTTGAGACAGTTGAAAACTAGAGAATCTAATATTTGTCGTATTACTTATTTTTCTATTACCATACAAATTTACGAATTCTATTCCCACTTATTTTCATTAATACTTAACTCTTAAAATTAATTGCTGAAGTTCCTTAGCGAAAAGCTCTGTCGCCCATATATGGGTGACGTGGCGTTCAACGTGTTGATCCAAGTGGCTGCTACTTCATCTTTAATTTATTTATTCAGTTTTATTTAAAGCGCGGCAGATGATCTCTTGGCATTGCACTAGATCGTTTTAATCCATACATAAGCGTACATAAGCGTTTCTTTACAAAGACTTTTCCTTAAATCTATCTTGTACAAACATGTTTTACATCCTATTACTAAGTTTGTTATAATTTATTTTTCGTAACTCTATGTATTATAACTATTGCCATATTTTCGCAGTCTTTTCTTTGTAGGAACCATTTAAACGTTGTACTTTCTATATATATTAATTTCCGTGTGTTTAACTGAGCATTGAGCAATATCACATTATCAAAAATATAACCGACAAATCTGAAATACATATAAAAGATACATATATATGTGCATCTTTACGTAAGCATTAGATAGTTTAATTTATTTATAATATAATGCTTGGGTACAAAGCACCATATTCATTTTATTTCATTATCTAAGAAGAGGTCCGAGGATTGCGTACGTGTGGTCCGGATAAAATACTGTTTGGATCTCGTATCGGTACCCTAATCACGCTAATTAAATAGAGCGCGCGAGCTTTGCTTGTTAATTCCAATGCATTTAATTCCAATTCAAGACCTTGAACCTTTCCGTTTTGTTTACATGCGTCATGCCTTATTTTTTTTTTTATGTCACCACAGCTACGTGTTCCTTATGTGAAAGCTGGTTACCCCGAGAAGGGTAAAGCGGGACTAATGGGATTAGAGGGTGAACTCAGCCGGGCGATTTAAATGCCTTCTGGGTAGGAACATAGAATTTACACTTAATTGCACGCATTAGGTGCGAGCGCATCGACCACATCGTTAATCGACCGGAAGAGCAGAATGCAATTAACGAGAGACGATTGAATTCCAAAAGAAACGGAGATTCTCCGTTGTTTCTACCTGTGATTAACACGTTAACCCTTTATTTACCGAATTACTCACAAGTTTTTTAAATCTAGACGTCCATCTTGGTCTCGTATCATCTTATGGAGTTGTCTCTAGGTTTCAGTTTCAGTTTCAGTTTTATTTAAAGTGCGCCAGATGAGCTCTTGGCATAGCACTGATTCATTTTAACTTACATGGGTGGTTTCTAACCGGCTTCCAAAAGAAGAAAAAAAGGTTGCGCATCCAACAATTAAAAACGAACTTCATAGGAGTGGACTTGAAAGTCGCAATAGGTTTCAAAGCGTTTAATTAATACAGTATCATGATAAAATTGACGGGACTTATAAGTCCCGCCTGGTAAATAAAGGGTTAACCGCCGAGTGCACTTTTTTTTTCTTTTTCGATCACGTCACGGTATTACTCTTTGCATGTATCTTATCGCTGTGTAATTATGACGCGCACTTTTTCCTGGTTCTTTTAGAAATGCTTTTTTCTTCAACCAGTTGCTTATGGTTCGTGTTTCGTTGCAGTTGAACAAAATATAACACGTGGTGACAATGTTAGTACATAATACATGGGAAAGTAACTCAAGTGAAACAAATTTTCCTAAAAATCCCCTTAGAGTCGTACTTCCTTCGTCATTAAAGGATAACATTTTTTTTTGTATAACCTTCAAGATACTTTATATTTATCATAAGAATATAATTTTTGAAATTTATCATTGAATATATAAATTAATTATATTCTTAAGAACTTATCAGGCGGCAATCTTAATTCCTGCTGTTTTTATTGTAGCAAAAATTTATTTGTTTCGAAGAGAAGATGAACGAAACCTGTATCAAAGTGATTTTCTCCATTTTGTATTATTTTGTTCCAATCCTCATAATACTGCAAAATACAGAGTATTCAAAAATTACAGACAATAATACAACGTATTATCACATACAACACAATTAATTCCTAACAAAGATGCGAATAGAATAGAAACAAAAAGGTGTTTAGAGAGTTAAGCTAGGTACAATGCTGGCGAAACGTTCCAGTGTCTTATCCAAAGAACACGATTCACATCCGAAAGCCTCGGTTAGTATCGATCGCGACGAACCAGGTCGTGAAGCACAAATATTCCCGAAAATATTTAACTCTGCTAACAGCAAGTAACTCTTTCGTTACTCCGACCTTTCGGTGAACTCTGTCTCTGCCTTCGATGCTTGAAGAGCGTTGTTTCTTATTTGCACGCAGGTATCCAAACTTCTCGAAATCCGATCGACCGCCGAACCTCTCGGACTTGCGTCTCCGTCAGTTCGAGTTCACGCAGGTGGACCCGTACTCACCGAAGATGATCAACCTTGCTGGTATAATCTCAATCGTTCTATTCTACGTGCTGATCCTAGGCGTAGGAATATGGGCGGCCAGGAAGAAAGAGGCCGGCAACGACTCCGAGGAAGAAGTCATGCTAGCGGGTCGCTCAATTGGACTGTTCGTCGGAATATTCACTATGACGGCGACTTGGGTCGGCGGTGGTTACATCAACGGCACCGCCGAAGCGATCTATACGAAAGGTCTCGTTTGGTGCCAGGCGCCATTCGGATATGCCCTCAGTCTTGTCTTTGGTAAGTTCCGTTATGGTTTCTCCATCAGTTAACCGGTTAAACCTTGCTGGTATAATCTCAGAACAGGCCTTCAATTGAATTGGAATTTCATTTACAACTTCGAGAATAGTTTTCAACAGTTGAACATG